TTTCCCCTAAAGAAAATTATTGTTAGTCTGGTCCCAGCTTGGGCATTTAGGAAAGAAAGGTCCTCAATTCCATTTGCACTGAAAGGAATACTTTTACTAAAGCTAAGTAGTTACAGCATAAGAAAAGCCAGTTCTGAATATTCCTTCATAAAGCTGATAGTTTTCCCTTCTCCTGGAGTTATCTCGCTAGTTTTTATTTTATTTTATTTTATTTTATTTTATTTTATTTTATTTTATTTTATTTTATTTTATTTTATTTTATTTTATTTTATTTTTTTATTTATTTATTTATTTTTATTTATTTATTTATTTTCATCAAGCATGTATTAGATAACAGATATAAGTATAAACATAACTGAATACATGAAATGGATATGAATAAATGGGGATAGTAGGACAGGGACAGTAGGCACGCTCGTGCGCTTATGCACGCCCCTTAAAGACCTCTTAGGAATGGAGTGAGGTCAACAGTAGACAGTCTAAGGTTAAAGTTTTGGGGGGGGTTGGGGAAGAAACCACAGAGTCAGGTAGTGCATTCCAGGCATTGACCACCCTGTTACTGAAGTACAGTGGTGGGTTCCATCCGGTTCCACCCAGTTCCGCCGAGCCGGTAGCGGTGACAATATGACATCACCAAACCGGTTCTGGCCTCTCCGTCCACCCCCCCACCCCACCCGCGTTATTCTTACCTTTTATTTGGCCCCACCCCCAATCTATTGCTGCCTCCTGAGTCCCAGCTGATGGGCTATAAGGAAAAAAACTGTTTAAACTCTTGCCGTGGGGCTTCAAAGGGCCGCCCTACAGCTGGTGAGTGGTAAAAGGCCGTTTGGTGGTAGACCGGTGCCTCCAAAAACAAATGAGTAGACCGGAGCCTGCAAAAATAAATGGGCAGACCAGTGCCTGCAAAAATACATGAGTAGACTGGTGCCTACAAAAATAAATGGGTAGACCAGTGCCTGCAAAAGTACATGAGTAGACCAGTGCCTGCAAAAATAAATGGGTAGACCGGTACAGCTCTGCAAGCAGTTAAAAGGCTGGTAGACCAGTACCTCTGCTAAATCCTAAAGAATTGTCACATGACCATCAAGCCACGCCCACAAAATAAGCCATGCCCACAGAACCGGTAGTAAAAAATTTTAGAACCCACCCCTGCTGAATTCGTATTTTCTGCAATCAGGTTTGGAGTGGTTTACCTTAAGTTTGTATCTATTGTGTGCTTGTGTAGTGTTGTGGTTGAAGCTGAAGTAGTCCTTGACAGGTAGGACATTTTAGCTGATAATTTTAAGTACTATGCTTAGGTCAGACCGAAGACGGCGAAGTTCTAAATTGTCTAAGCCCAAAATTTCAAGTCTGGTGGCATAAGGTATTCTGTTGCGAGCAGAGGAGTGGAGGACTCTTCTTGTGAAATATCTCTGGACTCTCTCAATTGTATTAATGTCCGATATGCAGTGCAGATTTCAGACCGATCAGCTGTATTCAAGAATTGGTCTAGCAAAATTTTGTATGCCCTAGTTTGCAGTTCAATATTACTGGAGAAGAAGCTACGCAAGATTAGGTTAACAACTTTTAATGCTTTTTTGACAATGCTGTTAACAGTGGGCTCTGGCACATAGATCGTTTTGAGATGAGTACTCTGACAGAGTGAGGGTTATCTTACAAGGTTGTATCAGCCCAGCTCATATTTTGTGTTTTGATTTTTTTTTTGCCAATGTGCAAGACAGAGCATTTGTTGGTTGAGATTTGGAGTCGCCAATTGTTTGACCATTCTGACAGATAGTCAAGGTCTTTTTGTAGGGTAGCAGCATTGTTGGTGGTGTTGAATAGCTTTACATCATCAGCAAAGAGAATGCAGTTGCTTATAATATGATTGCAAAGGTCGTTTATGTAAAGTATAAAGAGTGTGGGTCCTAAAACGCTTCCTTGGGGGACCCTGCTGTTAACTGGTGCAGGGTTTCATAGAGCATTCCCTATTTTGACTACTTGTTGCCCTGTTTGATAGGAACGCAGCTATCCACTTATGCAGGGTTAAATAAAGTTTAAATTTGTTGTTTGGGTAAGAATTCTACGTTGGGCATTCTTTAATGAGCGTTCGCATTCCGTTCCCATGCCTCTGTCCTTGGATCATTCAACCATAGTTTCTGGTTGGCATTTCTGGTCCTTGTCATCCCTTCTCCCCATATCCTCCTTCCCTCCCCCCCTCCCCATTTACAGCAGGCTGCAATCAAAACAAACCGTAGCTGAAGCAGTCTGATGGCAGATCTGACAATTATTTTGTTTAAACAAAAATCAGAATATCTTGACTGTTGTAAATATTAAAACAGAATCCAGAATGGGGCTGCGCATTCAACTGTGACTGAGAACTTTTCAGGCCAGGCAGAGTTAAACGCCATTCCCAATATGTCCTGCAACCCAATTCTCAAGATGGTTGAATCTGTCTGGTAACTCTTGTTTGCTACCTTCACCAGGAGCAGCTGCTGAACATATTGGGTAATAGGTTTTGTTCCTTTTTGTTCTTCAACACTTAGTGTGCATCTGTATGTGTATGTATTTTTACGTGTGTGTTTGTCAGAGAGAGAGGGAAATGTAGAAAATGTCACAACCTTATTTGTTCTATACTGCAGAAAGAGAGCTGTATAATTTATAGCAGTGTTTCTGTAGGACAAGACATAGCAGAGCCTGGGGAGGAGTCAAGACAGGAATTAGCCTGGAATCCTTATGTTGCCACAAGCAGTCCAAAACCAGCCCCCCTCTTGAATTCCATTGACTCTTTTCTAATGACAATTTAGTGCTGATAGTTAGTTGATTAGATTCTTGTATATGAATCATAAATCTTCTAGAACCAGAACTTTATGTCAATTTCGAAGCGTGTTTATGCTGTTGCAATTATGCTGAAGCATTATTGCTTCTCAGTTTGCCAAAAAACCAAGGGGGAGATGGAACGTGGGCTCCAGACATCAAGAAGACGAGCAGTGAGAGCAAAGGACACTTTGGCAGGTGTCTGCCAACACTTAAATACTTTTTCTCATAACAGTACAATGACACTCAATTGGACAATGTGACCTGCACTAATAGGGGGAGGGAGAATTCTATTCTTTAATTATGTGGGTTAGCTAGATCTGGTTTTGCCCCCATCAGTGCCAAAATGATGTACTGAATAAAGTTTAGCATTCAGAGATCATAATGTCTCGAACGTGCTTGCTTTGGTTGGGTTCGTCAGTCGGAATATTGACACTTGGTGTGTGATTCTGATTCCATATGCCTGACATTTTCTCAGCGTTGGCTCTTTTAAAAGATGTGGACTTGCACTCCCAGAGTTGGCTGGCCAGCTGGCTGAGGAATTCTGGGAGTTGAAGTCCATACCTCTTAAAAGGATCATGGTTGAGAAACTGTCAAGCTTATAGTCTACAGGTGGTACTTGAACTGAACCCACATTTATGGTCCATGTGACCCACAGTAGCAGTCCATGCGACCAGATCTGACTTTATGATTTCTTTGTAGTAGTTGTTAAGCAAACAGTTGTGAACACTATTGTCATTATATGAACCTATTATTTACAATGGGGTGGCCTTGACCAGAAACTGAAAGTAAACACGGACATAATTGTGGACACATGACCATGAAGGACTGCAAAACCCTATATATGCAGCTGAGTGCCCAAAATGTCACATGACCCCAGGGCAGATGTTGGAACTTCAAAGCCAGATCGTAAATGTCGTTTTGGAGTCTGTTGTAACATTGAAGTGCCACTTAGTGATAATGAATTGAGGACTACCTGTGCAGTCAAGAATCAGAAGGTGTCCCAGCAGCAGCTTTTCTGACTAACAAACTTTATGAAAAGACGTATCATATGCATTTGTTAGTTTAGATGCACTTTCAGGTTAATCATGTGTATTAGTGCCAGTGATTTTTACTTGAAAGTAAAAACAGAAATTGTTATTCTGCATTAAGTTCTAAAATAATAACTCATAATTATGTTCCTTTTGGTCTTCAGAATGGGAAGAATCCAAATTTGAATTTCCTCCCAGCCTGAAAGAAGCTATCAAAAAGTACCTGACTTGGGAGTGCTGTTCGCTGTGGTTACAAATAAAGAATATATTGAAGAAAATAATGATAAATCCTTTAATGGAACTATTTATTACACTGTGCATTATAACAAATACCATGCTGATGGCATTGGAAAAACTTTCATTATCACCAGAACAGGTTACTAAAGGAAATAACGTAAGTGAATTCAATTTCTTATGAAGGTGCATGCCAGCCAATAATTATGTTTTCTGGGAAAATGTTCCTTTCTGAAAGCTCGGTACTCTAAATGTTGTACCTATTAATTATGCATTAAATTATTCATTTTCTTCTACTCAGATCTCTGAACTCAGTCAGTTGCATAATGAAGTGGCCAAGGCATCTTCAGGAGCAGTCAAGAAAACTCAAGATGGTTTTACTAATTGCCATTTTGATTTTTTAATACCTTCTTACCCATTATGTGCCCCTGGAAGTGGCAGGCAGATGAGAAAAGAAAATAGTACAACAATTATAATCCTTCCATAGGCGTGAAAGCCTATGGGTGACTGGGTGACTTCGGCTCAATCATCAGGAAACAGGGAGTTTTAGTCCTGCCTTACACATGAAAGCCAAATGGCTGACTTTGGACCAATCACCAGGAGACTCTGAGTTCTAGTTCCACCTTACGCATGAAAGCTGGCTGGGTGACTTTGGACCAATCACCAGGAGACTCTGAGTTCTAGTCCCGTCTTACGCATGAAAGCCAGCTGGGTGACTTTGGGCCAGTCAATATCTCTCAGCTCACCTCACCTCACAAGTCTGTTATTATAGGGAAAATCGGAGGAGGAAGGCTTATTAGGGATATTCACCATCTTGAGTTACTTATTAAGTAATAAAGGAGGGATAAAAATCTAATAAATAAATAAATAGACTTTGCCTTCTGCAATAACAAATCTGGAGCTGTCAGTCTTTCATAGTTCTGATGTACTTTCTTGCAGGTATTCACTGCCATTTTCACGGCTGAAATGGTCCTCAAGATGATTGCCCTGGATCCGTATTACTATTTTCAGTGCTCCTGGAATGTGTTTGACTTCATTGTGGTTATTACAGGCATAATAAACCTGTTGCTGAGCAAGCGGGCGCCAATTTTCAGAACGGTAATAAAGAACCCTTTTGATTCAGTCAAGTACAAATCTTTTATGTCTATCCTGTGAACAAACACCTTCTTTTTAAAGGAAACAAATTAGAATGCTAAATTTGAGTAATGAAGTGCCTTATTTTTGGCAATAATTTGGCCAGCTTTTGCTGGATGCATTATTCTGCGTTGTTGTCTTGGTACAGTACAAGGTGAGACCAAATAATATATAATAATGACAATTATGTCTTGTTGATAGGATCCTCTTCTTTTGAGCAGCCCTGCTAGAATAGCTCCTCACCAGAGAAACACCATATGAAGCAGCATATTTACCGGTTGATTCAGAGAGCATTTGCTGGCATCAGGAAGCATTTGTAATCGTCTCTGGATCATTAACGACAAACATGTACTATGTATAATTTCAGATGTAAATGTCATCCTCTTGTACAAGTGGATGTTTATACAAAAGGGCATTTTGACCTTCCTTTTGGTATGAATAGTCTGATACATTTATTTTATCAGTAGAATGAACTGTGTGCATAGTATAAAACTCAAATCTAACTGCTGGATTTCTGTGTTCTTTCCTTTCCTCCCCAACCCTGCCTTATCCCCAACAGCTGAGAATCTTCAAACTTTCAAAATTTTGGCCAGCTTTAAATAAGCTTATGAAAATAATGTTGAAATCAGTAGGCCCTCTGGGTAACCTCACCCTCGTTCTGATATTCACTGTATTCATTTTCGCTGTGGTTGGCAAGCAAGCCTTTGGGAATTACTACAGCGCTGTCCCTGCTAATGCTAACATCTGCAACAACGATAGTATGCCGATTTGTGCTTCCAGTAATAGTTCTGAGACATGCCAGTTGCGTTGGCATATGAAGGATTTTTTGCATTCATTTCTTATTATATTCCGAATTCTGTGCGGAGAATGGATTTCCACCATGTGGGAATGCATGCAGATTGCCGGGGAAGGACGATGCATAATTCTGTTCATGCTGGTCCTGGTTTTAGGAAACCTGGTGGTAAGTTTCCAAATATTTTTGTCAGGACTATTTAAATTGGAGCCTTTCTCAATTAACAAAACGAGGAAGGGGAACTTTCCCTTCCAAAGTCCTGTCATCTAATTTCTTCTTCTGTAGATATGATTTACTTCTAGAATAATGCATAATGTGAATTTTTATTTATTTATTTATTTATTAGTCTTTGCATTTATTTGTTTCCTCAATCTCGCATCTTTATCAGAGCTGATAAGCTTTTATAATACAGGTAAAAGTCTTCAACTTGCAGCTACAACTGAGACCAACATTTCTGTTGCTAAGTGAGATAGTTGTTAAGTGAATTGCGCTCCATTTTACAACCTTTCTTGTCACCGTTGTTAAGAGAATCCCTGCAGCTGTTCAGTTGTAAAGTGAATCTAGCTTCCCCATTGACTTTGCTTGTCAGAAGGTCACAAAAGGGGATTACATGACGCCAGGACAAGTCATAAATACATGTCAATTACCAAGCATGCGAATTTTGACCACCTGACCATGGAGATGCTGTAACGGTTGAAAGTGTGAAAAACGGCCATAAGTCACTTTTTCAGTACCATTGGAAGTTCGAAAGGTCACTAAATGAATGGTTGTAAAATGAAGATTACCTATAGTTTTTTTTAAAAAAAAACAAACCCAAAAACTTTCTTTCTCCACTGAGATGATCTCATGATAGTTTTTCTTCTATGTATTGCTTTCTTGCTCATCTTGGATGTTAAACAGAGTTGCATCCTAGTTTATCCTTGGATAAAGCACCATAGATTAGCGGTCACCAACCATTGCGGCTTGGCAGCCCACCTGGTGGAAAAGAACCAGGGTGTGCGAGCAGTGGGCTGTACAAGCAGCTAGACTCACGCGAGCAGTGGACCAGCATGCGTGCAGCTCGACTGCAAGTTGAGCTGCGTGCATATGTGCTTGTGCGTCAACCCACCACTCACTTGAGTTGAGCTGCGTGCGTGTATGTCAGCCCACCACTGATGTGGACTGGTTGCAAATAGGCCACAGCCCATTACTGGGGGTTGGGTACCCCAGCCAAAGGGACCATCTTGGGAACAATTTCCCAGAAGAACTTTGCTGGAATAGTTTTCTTGTATTCTATGCAACAACTACAGCAGTAGAGCCAGTAGATGGCAGTGTTTGTAAGTTTGCTAGTTTTATCTATGGTATGCTCTGTCTTTTCTCTATATAGAAAGTTTCCTGTTTCCTTCTAACAATTAAGCAGTAAAGCACATGGTGACTGTGCATTTTGTTTGTTCTGTAAGGTGTCAGCCCTGGAGGCCATTTTTTACTTTGGATCTTCAGGGCTGCCATACTTAGTGCTGTGGAAAACTGGGAGGGGGGATTGCATGAAGTTATGGGGATATCTAGCCATAATAACATTCCTTTCTCTGAGAGCCTAGGACATTCAGCCTGCACCTGGAGTGGCGTGACTGGGAGGCATCTCCCGTTGGGATGGTGCATTGATTAGACCATGTGATGGACATGTGGGTGCAGGGGAAGGGACTTGGGCTTTCTTTTGGGTGGGGAAAACCTGGAAGCTTTCAAATTCAGGTTTTCCCAGGTGTGCCAATATGACATCTGTAATAAAATGGAACTTTGGGGAACTTCTAGCCTTGGAGTCTTCTTGCATTGGGGGTGTTACCTGGAACCTTGATATAAGGTTATATAAACAGAATTTCTAGCAAACTTAATAAATAATCCATAATGCTACTAGAAAAATTAAATTCACTTCATGGAAGTCATCAGGAGTCAAACTTAGTTTGCTTGAGCAAACTTTTGCCAGATTGAAGGAATGGTCTAAATTACTCACCTTGGGAAACAATGTGTTGCACTATTCATTCCTTCATGATTTGTTTGTTTTTTTCATTGTTCAAGTCATACTATTTTCACTGGTTTCAAGCACAGCCAGAGAAAAGCTGGAATTAACACCTGCTATCTCCTGTGTTAACCCTTCAGACTTTATACTGGATGCCCACTCTTTCCACCCTCAGAGAAGGAATCGTGACTTTCTTTCTCAGACAGGTCTTTAGCATTAAATTAGTAAATATTTTAGCAAATGCTTTTACTGGACTTTTGTCAGTTAGCTGCCTTGAGGATTCTGTGGGTGGAAACGGTGGCATGGATTGAAACTTATATATAAGTTCCTAATAGGGAAATGGAATTTGATTGTAGCTTCCTAACTCCCTTACCTTGTGTTAAATAGTCCAGTGAGAAGCAGGTGAAAAATTTTTATCGTTATTTCAGGAGCAAAACTAAAGAGTTGGCAATATTTGAGCACAGGTGTTCTCATAGACCACTTTCAGAGCATACTATTTACACCGCAGTGGAAAATGACTTGATATTGTAATCCTATGTTTATCTATTCAGAAATATGCCCTATGAATAGGATTGTAGGATGAATATAGGTAGTCTTCGACTTACGACCACAATTGAGCCCTATATTTTTCATTACTAAGCGAGACAGTTGTTAGGTAAGTTTTTGCCCCAGAGCCTTGGTAGTACAGGGGTTTAAGGCACCCTGTTATTAAGCTTATTAAGACCAGCTGCCTGCAATTACTGCAGGGTTCGAATCTCGCCAAGGCTCAAGGTTGACTCAGCCTTCCATCCTTTCTAAGGTAGGTGAAATGAGGACCCAGTTTGTGGGGGCAATAAGCTGACTTTGTATAAATATACAAAAGGATGAAGGCTATTGCTGAGCACATTGTAAGCCGCCCTGAGTCTTCGGAGAAGGGCAGCATATAAATCAAAATAAAATAAAATAAAATAAAATTATGACCTTCCTTGCCAGTTAACGGCAGTTGTTAAATTAGTAATATAGTTGTAAAGTGAATCTGTCTTCCCCATTGACTTTGCTTGTCAGGAGGTCTCAAAAAGGGATCCCATGATTCTTGGACACTCCAGTTGTCAATAATGTCAGTTATCAAGCACCTGGTTTTTGATCATGTGACTATGGGGATTCTGCAATGGTCATCATTGTGAAAAGTGGTCCTAATCCTAAATCCCTTTTTCAAGGCTGTTGTCTTCAAGTGGTCACTACATTACTTCAAGTGGTCACTACATTGTAAGCCGAGGACTGCTTGTCTCTTACTCTCAAATAGTTACTTTTCTATTTTTTAAAAAAATCTTGCTTTTTTCCACCCCACTCAGGTCCTCAACCTCTTTATCGCTCTGCTGCTGAGTTCCTTCAGTAGCAGTGATTCAGAAACAGAAGCAGATAATCACAAACCTGACCCTGGAAAGGCTTTAGCACTCATCCAGAGTGGGCTGCGATTTGTCAGACTCTTCCTAAGGGATTGGTGTTGCCATGTCTTCTTGAAGAAGCTGAGGATGACAGGCACACAAAAAAAGAACGAGACAACCGTCATTGAAAGGTCCTATGATGCTGAATCCACGAAAGAGATCTCGGTGAACTTCACTAGCAAGGAATCCTTTGGGAATTGGGATAAACTTCCATGGGATAGAAAGCAGGAAGATTTTGTGACCGATTACAGGGAGGTTCCCACTATTCCCCTGGCTGAACTGGAGACATTAAGTGTTGAGGAAATGGACCTTAGTACCCTGGTAGGAAATAATTATCCTAACTTGCTGGGGGGGGTTTCCCTATAAAGTATAATTAAACAATTGGGGGAAAATTCTTTCTAGTTTTTATGTGGTTCTGTATTGGCTTCCTTTTTTTGTTGACATGTTCCAACCGAATTTTCCATTAGCCATTGTTAATTTTAGGAGGCATCAGAAGGGATGAAACAGGTTAATTGGTAATAAAAGCTCTTTGCCAGGACAACAAAATTGAAAAAAATCATGACTACAAGTAGTCCTGTAATTACAACAGTGGTGGGTTCCTCCTGGTTCGGCTGGGCCGGTAGCGGTAACGATATGACATCACCGAACTGGTTCTCTTTGGGAGCTGGGGCCCCCTGCCCCCCCGCGTTATTCTTACCTTTTATTTTGCCTCACCCCCAATCTATTGCTGCTTCCTGAGTCCAGCTGATTGGCTAGAAGGAAAAAAACTGTTTAAACTCTTGCTGTGGGGCTTCAAAGGGCCGCCCTACAGCTGATCAGTGTTAAAAGACAGTGTGGTGGTAGACCGGTGCCTCCAAAAACAAATGAGTAGACCGGTACAGTTCTGCAAGCAGTTAAAAACCTGGTAGACCAGTACCTCTGCTAAATACTAAAGAATTGTCACATGATCATCAAGTCACGCCCACAAAATAAGCCACACCCACAGAATCAGTAGTAAAAAAATTTAGACCCCACCCCTGAATTACAACCATAATTGGGACCCAACTTTCCACTGTTAGACAGGGCAATTGTTAAGTGAATCGTGCCTGATTTTATGATCCTGTTTGCCATGGTTGTTAAGCACTTCACTACAGTGAATCATGCAGTTGCTAAGTGAACCTGGCTTCCCCCATTGACTTTGCTTGTTGGAAACTGTTAGGGAATATTGTATATGGGGATCACGTGACCCAGGTGGGCGTGGCTTAATTAGTGGGTGGAGCTTGGTGATAAGGTGACTGGGTGGGTGTGGCCAAGTCAATGTCACTTCTTTGCCCTTTTTTAACTTACAAAACACAACACAACACAACTGGCTCACCCATAATGTAAAAGCAGCTGTGCTAGACCCAAAATGGCCCCGCAACAAGCAGGAACCTCACACAGCCACAAAAAGCCCAAAAAACCAACTTTCACACTTTACACACACAAAATTCCACATACAGCTTTGTGAGATTTTGTGTGTTTGTGTAGTTAGAGTGAAACACTACAGAAACACACTAAATTTCAGAAAGCTGCACAAATATTATTTTATTTTAATTTATTTTTATTTTTATATAAAAGCAGCTAAATTTAAAACTTCCTAAACTTTAAATGGCTAGGTCTAAAAAAAGAACAAGTAAAAAAAACCCCAATTAACTATTTTTTTTAAAGCTCCCAAAGGGAGAAAAAAACTTACCCAACAGAACAGGGGTCTCCAACCTTGGCAACTTTAAGACTTGTGGACTTCAACTCCCAGAATTCCTCAGCCAGCTTTGCTGGGAGTTGAAGTCCACAAGTCTTAAAGTTGCAGATAGAGCTGCTCACCGATGAGCTTGATTGCAGGCAGAGAGATTCAGTTGCTTGCTGATGCAATGGATTGCTTTGCGACCAGCAGCTGAGGTAAACAAGCTGGAGGCTGGGGGGGGGAGGGGGAAGAAACTTTTTTTTCTTTTAAATGGGTCTGACAATCCAAGCTGAGTTGCCTGATGAGTAGGCAACTCAGCTGGGATCGTCAGAGCTTGGCTCGTCAGAGCCATTTAAAAGGAAAAAAAGGCTCTGATGATCGCGTGGCTCAGCTGGGCATGGGGGGCGGGGGCAGGGATTTTTGCTACCGGTTCTCCAAACTGCCCACCGCCATCGCTACCTACTCGCCCGAGCCGGTCTGAACCGGGAGCATTTCACTCCTGACATGACTCCAGGATGCTGCAATCAGCATAAATACATTCCTGTATTTGAGCGCCTGAATTTTGATCACGTGACAGTGCAGATAAAGGTAGTCCTCAACTTATGACCACAATCAGGCCCCAAATTTACATTAAGTGAGAAATTTGTTAAGTGAGTTTTGTCCCATTTTATGACTTTTTTTTGACACATTTGTTAAGTGAATCATTGCACTTGTTAAATTAGTAACAAGGTTGTCTGGCTTCCCCCTGGACTTTGCTTGTCAAAAATTTGTAAAAGGAGAAGTTACTTGATGCATATACAATACAAAGCAATGCATGTTTCATGCCCAAAGGATGTGGATGACATAATTTGCTCTTGTGTGTTCATTACATCGATAATATTTCAGAATAAATGTTTAAGATTTTGTCATTTCTTTACTGCTTTTAATACCATTTTATGTTTGGGATGGAACTTCATGACGTTCTTGAAGAAACTTGAAGAGGAAAACATTTTGGCGTATCAAACGATTTCTTGGGTGTCTTTTTCTAGGAGAACAATCTGCGAAAGAGGAGAGAAATACCAGTATACCAACGCCAAAATCGAAGGCTCTCTTCTCAAGTTTCTGAAACTACAAGTATTTGGTCTTTAGATGTTCCCAAGGTAAAGCAAATAAAAATGAACTGGACATCTTCATTACTTGCTGAGAAAATGATACTTTGCATTCTCTAAAATTTGCCCAGAGAAGTTACCATTCTTAGATTACTCTTACAAAAGGGTTCCAGAATTTTTTTTGTCTCAGCCCCTTGGCATGCAATGGGCCCTTCTTGTAAGCATGGAAAGGCAGAACTGATTTTGTTGGGGAGGACAAGGGGTCCTCTTTACTCCCATGGTACTTTACTACCCTTTGTCAGGGAAAGCAGCTTTTGAATTTAAAATCCAAGCAAATAGCATCCGTTCTTCAAAGGTATGTCATTTGAGTGGACAATAAACCCCATAGGAACTGTAATTGTATAAACTCAAAATACTCTCAGTTCAGGGCACATCGTCCTATCGTAGCAACTGTTAGGTGTTTTTGTGCCAGCCATGGCAGTTTCTACAAAGGCCACCAGATGGGAGCAAAGAGGCACCTTTGATCCCACTGGTCGGTCAAGGGGCTCCGGCCCCTGCAGCCCCTTTGGGGAAAGTTAATGGCCCTCCGGCCCCCTCACACATTGGTAAGGGAGGGGCCATGGGCCCCTATAAGAACCCCTGCACAGGGGCTACTCTCCCCTGCTCTTATTCTAACTTCCTATGGGACTGATCCATGGGCTCAATCCAGGCATGGATGCCTCCATGCCAGGGAACTCATTTTACTCCACGTTTACTTCTAAATAAAGACTTAATTTGATGGCATCCTTGCGTGCTGACTTTTCTTGGAAGTGCCCTCAACGAACCATCGATCTTCGTGAGATCCCTCACAGCAACAAGGTCGGGCTTCAGGCAGGGGTACAGCACTGAAACGGCATTGGTCGCGTTGGTGGATGATCTCTGGAGGGCTCGGGACAGGGGTTGCTCCTCTGTCCTAGTCCTATTAGACCTCTCGGCGGCTTTTGATACCATCGACCATGGTATCATGCTGCAGCGGTTGAGGGGGTTGGGAATAGGGGGCACCGTTTTGCGGTGGTTCTCCTCCTTCCTCTCCGACCGCTCGCAGTTTGTGTTGGCAGGGGGACAGAGGTCGACCTCGAGGCATCTCGCATGGGGAGTGCCGCAAGGGTCGGTCCTCTCGCCTCTCCTGTTCAACATTTATGTGAAGCCGCTGGGTGAGATCATCCGTGGTTTTGGGGTGAAGTGTCATCTGTACGCTGATGATACTCAGCTGTACATCTCCACCCCAGACCACCCCAACGATGCCCTTGATGTGATGTCCCGCTGCCTGGAGGCCGTGCGGGCCTGGATGGGGAGGAACAGGCTCAGACTCAACCCCTCCAAGACCGAGTGGCTGTGGCTTCCGGCGCCCCGATATAGTCAGCAGGTGCCATCGCTGACTATTGGGGGTGAATCTTTGCCCCCCACAGAGAGGGCTCGCAATCTGGGTGTCCTCCTGGACGCACGGCTGTCTTTAGAAGAGCACATGACGGCCGTGGCCAGGGGGGCCTTTTATCAGGTTCGCCTGATTCGCCAGTTGCAGCCCTTTCTGGATCGGGACGCCTTGCGCACGGTCACTCACGCCCTTGTCACCTCCCGGTTGGACTATTGTAATGCTCTCTACATGGGGCTCCCCTTGAAGAGCACTCGGAGGCTCCAACTGGTCCAGAATGCGGCCGTGCGGGTGGTTATGGGTGCAACCCGTTGCGCCCACGTGACACCCCTCCTGCGCGAGCTGCACTGGCTCCCAGTGGTCTTCCGGGTGCGATTCAAGGTGTTGGTTACCACCTTTAAAGCGCTCCATGGCATAGGACCCGGGTACCTTCGAGACCGTCTTCTGCCACCAATAGCCTCCCACCGACCAGTCCGCTCCCACAGAGAGGGTCTCCTCAGGGTGCCATCAGCCAAGTTATGTCGGCTGGCGACATCCAGGGGGAGGGCCTTCTCTGTGGGAGCTCCAGCCCTGTGGAATGAACTGCCCCCCGAAATACGAAAGATTTCCGACCTCCGGGTGTTTCGCTGCGCTCTGAAGACCCTGTTGTTCCGCCAGGCAGGGTTACTAACATAACGTTTTAAATTGGGGTATTTTAAATTTCTGGGATTTTAATTGGAGCCTAATTATTTAATGATTTTAAATTTTAAATTGTTGTCGTGTTTTTTGTGTTTTTAAATAGGCTGTACACCGCCCTGAGTCCTTCGGGAGAAGGGCGGTATAGAAATAAAATTATTATTATTATTATTATTATTATTATTATTATTATTATTATTAATCAAAACATTCAATAAATCTTTTTACATTTCACTCATTCATTCGATCATTTGTTATCTAACTGACTTACACAGCCACCCGTCAACACATGATTCAGGGCAGACCATGAAATGTATAAACAATGACTCAAATTTTAATTTTTTTTACAAGGAAACACAGTATAAATGTGGCAGTTACGGTAGGAAATAGGAAATACATATGTACATACAGTGGCTTGCCTCCAGAAGTTGTGGAGTTTTTAAGAAGAGATTGCACTGCCATTTGTCTGAATTGGTATAGAGCAGGACTGTCAAACTCCCGGCCCACGGGCCAGATGTGTCACACACTGGCCACGCCTACGCCCGGTTTAGCAAAAGGGGGGGGAAGTCCCGATACGTCATATGAAGCCGCTGTGATGCCGTGAGTTTGACACCCCTGGTATAGGGTCTCCTGCTTGAGCAGGGGGTTGGACTAGATGACCTCCAACTCTGTTATTCTGTGCAACTCTGTATTTTGCACACAAGCTGTTTGGGGCAGTGTAATGTCATCCAGAACCAAAGGTAGAAAATCTCCAGATACAGATAGTCCTCAAGTCACGATTTTCTTGTGGCTTACAATTATGTGTGTAACTTAAGCCATGGATAAATTTCCTATGTATCATAGGAGGTTTTCTGCATGTTACTTGGAAGTCTCAAAGCTCTGTTAAAAAAGTATGCTGAGTTTCAGCCTTTTGCTTTTCCTATCATGAATAGAATGTTCCTGAATAATGTGCAGAGCTGCCTTAATTCCTCATAAGCTGATTTTGGTTTTTCTTTTCTCATATCCAGAGATCAGATTATGATACGAGCTGTTCAGATATCAGCACGGTGGATCAGAGATCTCCTATCCATCACGTGCCTGAAGTCAAGAAGGAACCTCAGGACTGTTTCCCACAAGGTGAAGACCAGCTTTCTTGGCCGAAAATTGGTCCAGTTAAACAAATCTGTTGAAATGTTGATCGGTGGCCTTCATCCTTCTTAGTAAATGTGCCAACTCCAATATAATGTTTCGCCTGGATTATTATTATTTACGTTATTCATTAAACATGAAACTCAGTCAACTGAACATTCAAAAGTGCATCACAAATACCATTGACTGGGGCTAATGGTTGATATGGGTTGCTGCCAGCGTATCAACCAAGTACCTTCTTAAGATGTACGATGTTCCAAGTAGCACAGTTTTTTGCAGTTCCGCTGGTGTTATTGCAAGAAGCTGCAATCTGTTGATGTATCTTATATGGTACCAAGTGCCTTGATGACAATGGGCATCACTACTATTACTACTACTACTATTACTACTACTATTATTATATGATTGCACAGTTAGCCAGATGATTAGACTGGATTTGGCATTTTAATCTACCTATTGAATCTTTTCCAAGGACCTAGGATAGGTAGATGGGAATGTTTGATGGCGTTAAAGATCGCGTCGCAGGATATAAGCTGTTCTGAGTAAAGACGCCTTTTGGAATTGACAGATGGTGTTCAAGTGATGTTCCAGTTCTGTTAAATTTGCCAATGTTGGAAGAAATGTCCATCTGGGTTCATTTCCAAGTGGGGAGAAAGGCACTGGAAACATGGAGACTGCTTGGAAAGATGGTTTAATGGTGGGCAGGACCACATGGTTTTGAGGTTCTGGGCAAAAAAGCACATAGGTGAGAGACAGAGAAGAGATTTATACCCTCTGTTGGGCTTTGAATTTGAGCTTGTATTCTGATTGGTTGTCAGACTCCCATAGGGCCATGCAGGGGTAACTTTGTAGGTTGTCTTTTGAGTCCCAAGCTTGGTTGAATCTTGCTGGGTAATGCAATCTCCCCAGGTGCCATGTGGTGAGTTCTGTTGCTAGATGGGTAGAGGGCTAATCCTACCTTTGTTGGATCTTGGGTGTGGGCATTTGCTTATGAATAGACCTAGCTATCTCTTAAGTGCTGACATCTGCTGTGGGCTATTGAGAGTGAGGGGGCTATTAAGAGTGAGTCTGCTTCCAGCCTAAAAAACATGTTTCTCCATTTCTTATCCAGGGACGTATAATATTCTGCTTTTTTAATATTTCCTAGAATATTTCATTTTTCTAGGAGAGGGGTGGGTGCTAACTTCCTACACCACCTATTTTATTTGCCATGGGGCTGCTCTAGGGTGCTTATAGCTCAACCTTTTATTTATGTTAAGCAAATTTATATTGCACAGCTTTAAAAGTGGTGCCTATTTATCTACTCATATTTGCTTACTTTCAAACTACTAGGTGGGCAGGAGCTGGGGTAAGAACGAGAGTTCAGTCTTGAACCCAGGCTGTCTGCTTTCCACTGGCAGGTGTCAGCGGTTTTAACTGCTGAGCCATTGCACTCCTTTCAAAATAATAATAATAATAATAATAATAATAATAATAATAATAGTAGTAGTAGTAGTAGTAGTAGTAGTAGTAGTAATAGTAGTAGTAGTAGTATCGGGACTTGCAAATTGAAGCTGAGCGACTGTGTGAAATCGTGTGTTGTCCCGATTGTAATTGGAGCCCTTGAAGCAATACCCAAAGGGCTACCCCGCTATTTAGAAATTCTAAATTTACCGGACTTGAACATTTTGACTCTACAAAAAACCACCCTACTCGGAACAGCTTACATCCTCCGACGATACCTTAACAGTTCCTAGGTCCTTAGTTAGGACTCGAGCTGCTGAGCTATTAACCAGCCTCAAAGGCTGTGAATCTCACCAAAGATTAACAACAACAACAACAACAACAACAACAACAACAATAATAATAGCAATAATAACAACAATAATAACAACAACAATAACAACAACTTTATTGTCATTGTACGTGTATACACAGTATACCCATATAACGAAATTCACTTAACACCCAAAGACCAAGTCCAACACACATAACAATCCCCAAACACTCCCACTTACCACAATTCCCCACCCTTAAACCACCCAAACATCCACACAACAGACCAAGCAATGCTGTCCAACAGCTCACTGATGGTGGCCCTTTAGTTCATTGTTGAGTGCAACTATAGCTCTGGGATAAAAACTATTCAGAAAACGTGTGGTTTGAGTTTTAATTGTTCTGTATCTTCTGCCAGAAGGCAACAGTTCAAAAAGATTGTAAGCAGGATGGGAAGAGTCTCTGCGAATGTTATGCAACTTCCTCAAACAGCGAGATTCGAAGATGTTGTCCAGGGCTGGTAGCTGGAGCCCGATGATATTCTGGGCAGTTTTAACGATTCTCTGTAGAGCTTTTTTGTCCGCTACAGAGCTGCTCCCATACCATGCAAGAATGCCGTATGTCAGGACACTCTCAATGGTGCTGCGATAGTAGGACAGAAGTAGATGCTGAGATAGATTTAGCTTCCTGAGCATTCTCAGGAAGTACAGCCTCTTCTGTGCCTTCTTCACAAGCATGTTAGCATTCATAGTCCATGAGAGGTCCTCCGAGATATAAATTCTGTCTTGTTACTTTATATGTGCATTCTGTATGAGAAAGTTTTGAGAGTCCGGATTGTCAAGAGGGATTGAAATCCGAACCCCTACTTAAATTCAAGAAGCCAGCATGGTAGATGCAAAAATAATTGCCTCCAGCCTGCCTTTCAACAAATGATTCTGATGGATGAGGCTTGGAGCATCCTGGGAGATAAACCTATACAGGTAGCCTTCGATTTCCAACAGTTCATTTAGTGACTGTTCAAAGTTATGTAAGTGACTTATGACCATTTTTCACACCTACAACCATTGCAGCATTTTCATGGTTATGTGACCAAAATTCAGATGCTTGGCAACTGGTTCATATTTATGATAGTTGCAGTGTCCCGGGGTCATGTGATCCCATTTGTGACTTTCCTGATAAGAAAAATCAATGGGAAAACCAGATTCATTTAACAACCATGTTATTAACTTAACAACTGCAATGGTTCAGTTAACTATTGTGTCAAGAAAGATCATAAAATGAAGTGAAACTCATTTAACAACTGTCTCACTTAGCAACAGATATTTTGAGCTCGGTTGTAGTTTTCAATCAAGGACTATCTGTATATAGTTATCTTTGACTACTTATCAGTTAGCAGTAGTGATGGTCTTCGACTTACAACCACAATTGGAACCAGAGTTTCCATTGTAAGTTGTTGTGGTAAGTCAAATTGCATTTGATTTTATAACAAGTTTTACAGCAATCATTAAGCAAACTGCATGATTGTTAAGCGAATGAAACAGTTGCAAGCGAGTCCTGCTTTCTCAATAGTATTTATTGCTGGAAATTGGTGAAAAAATTTGCAAATTGTGATTGTGTGACTGCAGAATGCTGCAACTGGTCATAAGTGTGAGGCAGTTGCAGATGTCTGAATTGAAGTCCTATGACTACAAAAAAAAAAAAAAAAAGAGCCCAGGAACGGATTGGGTCCTGATCCATTTTCAAGAACTAATAATTTCTATGTTCTTTATTTCAGTCTTCATGAAATTATTTCCATGCTGCAGAGTGAATACAGATACATTTCCAGGCAACACTTGGTGGAGATTTAGAAAAACCTGCTACAAAATTATAAAACATAATTGGTTTGAATCCTTTATTATATTCATGATATTACTGAGTAGTGGTGCTCTGGTAAGTTTACTATAGTTTGAATCAACTCTGCTTTTCTTTAGCTTCTGCTGTTAATAATACAGATACTAGACTAGACTAGAATATAGAATATGGAATGCAGAATACAGAATACAGAATACGGAATATGGAATAGTATAGAACAGAATAGAACAGAACAGAACAAAACAGAGAATGCAATAAATAGAGTAGAGTACAGTAGAGTAGAGTAGAGTAGAATGGAATGGAATAGAGAATGCAATAAATAGAGTAGAGTAGAACAGAACAGAACAGAATGTAGGGTAGGCAGGGTAGAGTAGTGTAGAACAGAACAGAACAGAACAGAACAGAACAGAACAGCTTTATTTGGCTAAGTGTGATTGGACACACAAGGAATTTGTCTCCAATGCATAAGCTCTCAATGTACATACCATGCAAACAACAAAGTAATATAATCTTAAAATACCAATAGGAGAAGGTAGATGAAAAGATGAGAAAGATCGCAGCAATAGATCGCTACTACATGGGTTAATAAAACATAGGGCAATACTTAAGGATTAAACATTCAGCAGAGTGATGACACAAGGGGAAAAAATCTTCGTGTCTAGCTATCTCGGCATGTAATGCCCTATGCTGGCTTCCTAAGGGGAGGAGTCAGAACAGTTTATGTCCAGGATGTGAGGGGTCTATAGATACAATATTTGATTTTATTATAGTCTAAATGACATCTGACTTATAATTCCAGATCTTTGAAGATATTTACCTCGATAGAAGAAAGATCATAAAAAACATTCTCAACTATGCCGATGTATTCTTTTTCTGTATCTTTTTCTTGGAGATGCTTCTTAAATGGGTGGCCTATGGCTTTAGAAAATATTTTACTAATGGCTGGTGTATTCTTGATTTCTTTATTGTGTGTGTGAGTACCATGTATTTTCTTGTTATGTGCATTTTTTTTTTAAATTTGATTTATATGCCGTCCTTCTCCGGAGACTCAGGGTGGCTTACAGTGCGTTAAGCAATAGACTTCATACTTTTGTATATTTTTATACAAAGTCAGCTTATTGCCCCCACAAACTGGGTTCTCAATTTACCTACCTTAGAAAGGATGGAAGGCTGAGTCAACCTTGCTGCATTGCTGCAATGTGGAAATAGGAAAAGTAGTTTCTCACATAGAGAGCCTCATAAAAACTATTCTCATTTCCTATATTTAACAAAATGAAGTTCAATGAAGAGAAAAGTAAAGTGTTACATTTAGGCACCAAAAATAAATGTACAAGTACTGATTAGGTGAATCTTTGCTCAATAACAGTAAACTGCAAGATGGGTCTTGGAGTCCTAGTAGACAATCACTTATATATGAGCTAGCAGTGTGCAGCAGCATCCAAAAAAGCCAACACAGTCCTAGGCTGCATTAACAGAGGGATAGAATCAAGATCACATGAAGTACTAGTACTGCTTTATAAGGCCTTGGTAAGACCTTACATAGGTAAGACCTTGGAATATTGCATCCAGTTTTGGTCATATAAAAAAAGACGTTGAGACCAGGGGTGGGCTTCAAAAATTTTAGGAAGGGGCCCTAATCGGCCTCCTGCACTACGGAGGGTGGGGGCATTTTTGCCCTTCCTGAGCTCCGGAGGCCCGGGAGGGCGAAAACGGCCTTCCCAGGCTCTAGAGGCTGGAAACAGGCCCATTTCTGGCCTTCCTGAACTTCCGGTAGGCCCATTTTTTGCCCTCCCCGAGCCTCCGTGTGCTCCCTGCACTTACCTACATCCAAAACGGGCTGTGTGGGGACTCCTGGGAGGGGAGGGGAAGGGTAGGTGGGGCCAGTCAGGAGTGGGATTTGGGGGTTCTCCGAACTGCATAGAATCTTAGCTAGAGGTTCTCCCGAACCACTGCAAACCTCCAGCAGCCCACCCCTGGTTGAGACTCTAGAAAAAGTGTAGAGAAGAGCAACAAAAATGATCAAGGGCCTTGAAACTAAAACATATGAAGATGGCTGCATGAATTGGGTATGTCTAGTCTAGTAAAAAGAAGGACTAGGGGTGACATGAAAGCAGGGTTCCAATATCTGAGGGGCTGCCCCAAAGAAGAGGGAGTCAAGCTATTCTCCAAAGCACCTCAGGGCAGGACAAGAAGCAACGGGTGGAAACTAATCAAAAGGAGAAGCAACCAGGAACTAAGGAGAAATTTCCTAACACTGAGAATAATCAATCAGTGGAACAACTCGCCTTCAAAAGTTGTGGGTGCTCCATCACTGGAAGCTTTTGAAAAAAGACTGTACAACCATTTATCTGAAATGGTATAGGACAGTGATGGCTAACCTTTTTGCTGTCGCGTGCTAAAAGCAGGGGGAGCACAGGGGAGTTGTGCACGACCATGCCCACACTCATAATAGAATGCCCCACTATGCCCCGCTCCCCCACGCATGCACGCGCAACCCCACCGCACTCCCCCCACTTTTGGCATGCAACGGCATAAAGGTTACCGGTGGGCCCAGTAGACTTGTTTTTCACCCTCCCCAGGCTCCAGAGGCTCTCTTAGAGCCTGAGGAGGGCAAAAATGGCCTCCCCCACCAGAGGCCCTCCGGAAGCTGGAAACGGTCTGTTTCCCGACTTTTAGTGGCCCCAAAAGGCCTGAAAATCAGATGGCTGGTGTGCGTGTGCATGCTGCAGCTGAGCTAGGGCAACGCTTGTGTGCCCACAGATATGGCTCCGTGTGCCACCTGTGGCATACGTGCCATACATTCACCATCACAGGTATAGGATCTCCTGCAGGAGTTTGGACTATAGAATCTCCAAAGTCCGTTCCAATTCCGATGTTCTATGATTCAAGGCAATAGATGGAGAGAACAATAAAATGGGGATGGGGATGGGTGAGAGGAAACTATAGGTCAGGGGCTTTCATAGCAGGCATAGAATTGATATTTGCTAATTTCTTAGCATGGTTTTTCCTGAAAGTAAGCCAGAATTACAACTTGTCTTTTAAATTGTACTTTTCCTGTTTTTCAAAGGTTTCTTTGCCTATGGCAAGAGGTATGTCAAAGACAAGACAGTGCGACGGTAATATCTCCACAAAATCTCTAAGAACATTGAGGGCCCTTAGACCTCTTCGAGCATTGTCTAGATTTAAAGGAATAAAGGTATTAAATCTTCCTTCCTTCCTTCCTTCCTTCCTTCCTTCCTTCCTTCCTTCCTTCCTTCCTTCCTTCCTCCCTCCCTCCCTCCCTCCCCTCTCTCTCCCCCTCTCCCTTCCCCTCCCCCTCCCTCCCTCTTCCAAACATTATGTTTCAAATACTGTATGCCTATCTTTTGGAAGTAGATCTTGTTTTATTTCAGAGGAATAGGACTGATGCATTGTTTCAGCCAGCGGTGAAATCCAGCCGGACCTATCCGGTTCGTGCAAACTGGTAGCACTGGCAGCAGGAGGCTCTTCCCATCCGCCGGGACATCATTACGTCCCGTTTTTGACCCTCTGCGCATGCGTAGAAGTTTCTGCACATGCGCAGAAAAGGTGCACGCGTGTATAGCATGTTCATGCTTCCGTCCACTCCCGTTCCCGAACCGGTAGCGAAGGTAAGTGGATTTCACCGCTGGTTTCAGCCATGGCTCTTTCTATTTTGAGTATTGCAGGAATATTAGAGAACATTTAACATTCTAAGGAAGATTCTAATGAAAAACATTTGTTGCTTCCCTAATCAAATTCAGCCATATATTTGAATAATGCTGCTTTACCTAACATACATCTCTTTTAGATTAGGAATTTATTATTCAAAATGCCACCCTGTGGGGTGGGGGAAAATTATCCTCTTGATATATAGCTGTACCTGCCTCCCTGCCAGACATGATTTGAAATTTTTAACTCATAAATTCTATTTTTTCCCCCCCTCTTTTGGTCCATCTGCTTTTCTCCCAGATTCTCCTGATTTTTAATGAAGGAGAAGGAAAACACTTTGAAACTTCAGCTGGTCTAGAATGCACAGGCAGGTACAGTTTGGGATGGACAAAGGTTTATCTGAGTTGAGGTACTCGGATCTTGGAGGGAGGCTGTTTTGCAGGACAATGTTTCTCAACCTTAGCAAATTTAACATGTGTGGACTTCAAGAGTACTCAAGTGTAGTGTTCATACTACAGGTGTGAACAATGTCATCTAGTGACCGTTCAAATTACAACCGCACTGAAAAAAGTGCCATTATGACCGTTTTTCACACTCACGACCGCATCCCCAATGGTCACGTGATCAAAATTCAGACATTTGGCAACTGACTCATATTGATGACCGTGACAGGGTCCCGGGATCACGTGATCCCCTTTTGTGACCTTCTGACAAGCAAAGTCAACAGGGAAGCCAGATTCACTTAACAACCGTGTTACTAATTTAACAACTGAAATGATTCACTTAACAAATGTGGCAAGAAAAATCGTAAAACGGGGCAAAACTCAAGAAATTTTTCACTTAACGGCATAAATTCTGGGCTCCATCTGGTCGTAGATCAAGGACGGCCTATGCTATTTGTTCTTGCAATGAGAATTGATTGTGTATCTCTCATTTTTCTTTCTTTCTTTAAGGTTGTTGTGAATGCCCTGGCCGGAGCTATCCCTTCCATTGGAAATGTGCTTCTTGTCTGCATTGTACTATGGCTCCCATTTAATATCTTAGGAGTGCAACTGTTTGGAGGGAAATTTTCATGTTGGAACATTGAAAATAAGAATAGTTGTATTAATAAGGCTATCAACTTTGATCATGTTGGGAATGGGTACCTGGCTCTCCTTCAAGTGGTATGTTTAATAAAATGGATGTTAAATATCTTTGAAATAATAGAAAATACCAATAGGTCAGGCTTTGGATTTTGGCAGTGGTTTGCTCTCCAAGCTTGATTCAATTTCAATTTCTGAACGTTTCGTTACCAAACTAGAAAACATCAGCAGCAGGATTCTCTTGTCCTGTTCTCTTTAGCTTATAAATGTCTTGTGTGCTAGTGTGGCCAGTTGGTTGTGTGATTGGTTGTTTGTTTGGAGCTATATTTAATATAGATATTAAATATCTTTCATAGGGTGTGTGCAGCCAGAATATGTTATTAATAGCAGATTGTTGGCCTAACTCTCCTCTTTTAAATTTTTTAAATTTTTTTAATTTATGGCTTTATAAATTGGGTGTTTTAATCTGTTGTTTCGGCCAAAATATTTAATAATTTTAAGGGATTTTTAATATTTGTATTATCTGTATTTTATCTTGGCTGTTCACCGCCCTGAGTCCTTCGGGAGTAGGGCGGTATAGAAATTTGATTATAAATAAATATAAAAATTGTTGAAAGTTGATTTGTGGGCAAATTTGCTTAGGAGAAAAAGCTATGAGGAGACTTTAAAAAAACAAGTGCTGGGAAAAGAAAAAAAAAGTCAATTAAAATGTGGTTGTGCTATTTGGACAAAGTCTAAATACAACCTTTTGCATTTACACTGCAGAGTAGAACAGTTAGTTGATTATCGTTAGTAGCAGTATGATGGCTTCTACAGTTATCTGAATCCAGTATTTCATAAAATAGAGAAATGAATCTTGTAGGTGTATTATAAATAAAATTAATAATAGTCATAATTAATTCCCCTAACTTCAGAAGTAAAAATATAGACATTACCTAATACATGTTGGGTCTTGCTGCCTTGAGCAAAAAATGGTCATCTTTTTTTTTTTCCTTTTACATAGCAGCAAAACATGATTCTCTTTTATTTATTTATTTATTTATTTATTTATTTATTTATTTATTTATTTATTTATTTATTTATTATATTTCTATACCGCTTTTCTCCCGTAGGACTCAAGGCGGTGTACAGTCAAGAAAAATATAGACACACAAACATCATAAAATTTAATTTTAATTATTTTAATTATTCCTTTGTCAACCAGGTGGGATGGGAGAACTAAATTTTTTGTCTCTATTTCTATCCTGTTCTGGACATCAAAAGAGGCAGATGGATCAAGGGAAGTCAATACTGTCCTCCCTTCTTAATTTTCTGTGATCTTTCATTTCAAATTCAAATCCTCTAGCCCAATTGTAATATTTGAAGGGAATAAGACAAGAAAATTAGATGCTTAAAGTGACAGCATAATAAAGGGTGGTGTATATACAAACAATGTAGGCTGGTGACCCCCAGGGGGAGAGCCTTCTCTGTGGGGGCACCTACCCTCTGGAATCAGTTGCCCCCAGAGATAAGGAGAATCCAAGACCTCGGTGCCTTCCGCCATGCCCTTAAACCCCACTTTTTCCAGCAAGCCGGGCTGGCTTAAGAAGAAATTTTTAAATTTTTTAAATGTTTTAATTGGTTTGTGATTTTTAAATTTTTGGGCCAAATTTATATATATTTTAATTGTTCTTAATATTTGTAGTTCATGTTCTTAATTCTGGCTGTGCACCGCACTGAGTCCTTAGGGAGAAGGGCGGTATATAAATTGAATAATGAATAAATAAATAAATAAAATAAAAAATAAAGTGTGGGAATAATAATAAAATAAATATAATAATAAAATAAAAATACAGTAAAGTAACTAAAAAAGTTGTAGAAAAGTAACTCCATTGTTTTATGTTTCTATGTTTTGTCCAAGAAAATTGAATGTTTTTTATCTGCACCTAATAAGGATTTTACTGGTATATATTTCTGAAGAAAAAGTAGCAAATGAATTTTGTTTTAAGTACAGAAGAGGTCCTATAGTGGCAGACTGGGGAAAGGCTACAATGATTTTGAGAACACAGTAAGGTCTGCCTCTATCAGACAAATCAAGGAGAAAAGGCATAGAAAACTTTAATAATTTGGCTTAATAATATCTCCATTTGGTTTTTTTTCCAGGCAACATTTAAAGGCTGGATGGAAATTATGTATGCTGCAGTAGATTCAGCTAATGACGTAAGCTGTAAAAAAGAAGTTGCTATGTTTCTCTTTTTTTCAGATTATCTCTTTGTTCAATTCGCAATCTTGCACTATTGTCCCCAAAGCTGTATTTTTCTAGCTTGAGCATCAGAGAAGCTCTAGGATAACATTTGTTGTTGTTGTTAGTTGTGAAGTTGTGTCCAACCCATTGTGACCCCATGGACAACTTTCCTCCAGGCCTTCCTCTCCTTTACCATTCCCCGGAGACCATTTAAGTTTACGCCTACTGCTTCAGTGACTCCATCCAGCTATCTCGTTCTCTGCCGTCCCCTTTTGCCCTCAATCTTTCCCAGCATTAGGCTCTTCAATGAGTCCTTCCTTCTCATTAGGTGGCCAAAGTATTTGAGTTTCATCTTCAGGATCTGGCCTTCTAAAGGGCAGTCAGGGTTGATCTTCTCTAGGATTGACTGCTTTGATCGCCTTTGTAGTCCAAGGGACTCGCAGGAGTCTTCTCCAGCACCAGAGTTCAAAGGCCTCCATTCTTTGATGCTCAGCCTTCCTTATAGTCCAACTTTCACAACCATACATTGCAACTGGGAAAACCAATAGCAGATCTTAAAAGCTGGTCTACATTGTGGCTAGAAGAACAGTAAAGAATTGACATTAATCAGCTGACATTGTTTAGGTATAGGTTTGGGATTAAATACTAAAAAATAAGAACATTCAAATTTCCTTTCAAATTTGGGAAATGATAATTTGGCTGTAATATTTTTTATGACATATAGAAAGCTCACTGGTGAAATCAATGGCAAAGAAAAATTTTAAATTAGCCTTGGTTCACACTTAATGTTTAACCAGGTTTTTTTTTAAAACTCAGGTTTTATTAAGGCTTAACGTCTGGGGTCACACATCTTCATAAACCATCATGGAACAGATCAGATTAAATTAACAAGAAAGGCTCCATGTTATAGTTTAGCATGAAGTATGAATCTTTGCCATTCTTGCAGCTCATGGATAAGATAGAAAAATTGAACAGCCTGCCTCCAGAAGTTGTGGGTGCTCCATCACTGGAGGTTTTTAAGAAGAGATTGGACAGCCATTTGTCTGTAACAGGGTCTTCTGTTTGAGAAGGAAGTTGGACCAGAAGATCTCTAAGATCCCTTCCAACTCTATTATTCTGTTATACAGATTTCCAAATTCCCTGCTTGGAACTCTGAAACAGTTGCTTTCATAGCTTCTGTTGAATATTTGGCTAGTTGGCCAGTTGTGATAATAATGATAACCCAATAATTAGTCTTTCCTAGTTGGAGTAAGTGCCATTGGGCTCTATATCAAGCAGGAGCTAGTGATGCTGAAGATAAATTTAGATGTGAAACAAAGGAAGGTTCTGTTCTGAAACAAGGGAAGGCAAAACCAACCAAAACAAATATTAAGTTTTATAAGGCAAACCAGAGAAAACCACGGCAGGCTCTGATTAGGCCAGGTCTATGCAGGTCTATGCACTAGACTGCAAGGCCATCCAACCGATCTCTAGAGGAGATCAACCCTGACTGCTCTTTAGAAGGCCAGATCCTGAAGATGAAACTCAAATACTTTGGCCACCTAATGAGGAGGAAGGACTCGCTGGAGAAGTGCCTAATGCGGGAATGATGGAGGGCAAAAGAAGAAGGGGACAGCAGAGAGTGAGGTGGTTGGATGGAGTCACTGAAGCAGTCGGCGTGAGCTTAAATGGACTCCAGAGGATGGTGGAGTTCCTCCTGGAGGAACATTGCCCATGGAGTCGCGATGGGTCAGATACAACTTCGTGACTAACAACAACAACAACAACAACAACGCATTATGGGAAGTTCAAGCAAAAGAATCCTAAAAGGCTTGAATGTTGACTCAGCAGCCATCAAGGATTAAACATTGCACTGAAGCTTAGTTCCACCTGAGCAGCTAGCCTGTTTCCTGTTAAATTAAGCATCTTGAATTAAAGAAGAGTAAATAGCTTATTGACATTTTCCACAAGGAGAAAATAATTTCACTGAGGCTTTTGAGCCAGGAAGCGTAGATGTCCTTAGGCTGGGGAAATGCAAACCAAATGGTATCATTTTGCATTAGCTTCCCAGATCAGGGACGATGCCGGTTTTGAAAGCAATTTCTTTGCAATGCTTCTCTGGAGAGTGATTCGTGTTGTGAGGGGTCCTTGGTGGTCTCTGAGCTTGGTTGTTTTGCAAATATTTCATGATCCAAACTAGGCAACATCATCAGTGCTGTCATTTTGCATATCCTGAAGTAGGGAAGTTGAAATCCAGAAGAAGGATATTGGTCATCTGTGTCATATTAACTTAAATCTATTAACTTAAGTTTAATAACTTAACTTATTACATTTATTCACTTAAGTTTAATAACTTAACTTATTAAATTTAAATTAGCCTGTGTTTTATACCTAATTACCGTATGTTCTTTTCCTCAGTATTTTTTTTTTCTTATTTCAGAATTCCACCCAGCCATGTTTTGAAAACAACATATATGCTTACATTTACTTTGTGGTTTTTATTATATTTGGATCCTTCTTCATGCTGAACCTCTTCATTGGTGTGGTTATCGACAATTTTAACCAGCAAAGAAAAAAGATAAGTATCTAACATAAATAGACAGCCAAGACTCATGAAGACAAACAGTTACAAACTCTTTCAAGTGTATCTAATGTCAATGTGTCATTGTTGTGTTTTATGGAAGACATAGGAAATATGGCAGTTGAATATAGTCCTAGGAAAGATTCAGATAGAAAGAAAATAATCCCCAACAGATAATCTGTCTTGCTCTCATTTTATATACAGGTTGTCCTTGATTGACAACCACAATTAAGCCCAAAACTTCTGTTGCTAAGTTACACATTTGTTATCTGAATTTCGACTCATTTTATGATCTTTCCTGCTAAGTTGCTAAGTGAATCACTGCAGTTCATAACACAGTTGTTAAGTGAGTCTGGCTTCCCCATTGATTTTGCTTGTCAGAAAGTCACAAAAGGGGGAATCACATGATCCTGGGATAACGAAACCATCGTAAATAGGAGCCAGTTGCCAAGTGTCTGAATTTGGATCATGTGGACATAGGGATGCCTAAGTCATTTTTTTTTTCAGTGCCGTTGTACTTTGAATGGTTGCTAAATGAACTGTTGTATGTCAAGGACTATCTGTATTGCCTTACCACTTGTACAATCTTAGGTAGAAAGTCTGCGGAAAGACAGGTTGGGTTAACCTTTTGTGGCAAAACCAATTAGACGTTTTAAGGCACCAGACTATTAGAACTGTCTCAAAGAACATGATCATCTTATTTCCATAGATTGTAAAAGCAAAACCTTCTGCCCAGGCATGACTTCTTTTAGTTATCACTTCCTTAATTCCTGGAGTCTGTCGGTGTCCGGAGGTGCTCTTGGCCTGCTCTTGGTTTCTTAGTAACCACCATCAACGATTCACTTACTGGCAGCGCTATCTTTAGTAGTTTAGATAGCACATGTATTCTCTAATTTTTTTAGGTCATACAGTCAATCAGATGACATGTCCTAGAAAATCAAAACAGAGGCCATATTTTAGTTTAGATGGTGTCTCTATTTCATGAGCGTCACAAACTAAATTAAGAAGCTCCAAGCAACAGAAGTAACAAAAGTAGCTACAAGTCACTTTGACTTGTAGAAACAAAAAAGCAATAAAAATGACTTTATGGAGTGCACAAAGAGATTACGAGAAAAAAGTATTTCATTTAAAGAACCAGAAAGTTCTATTCTTATTATATCATAATTATGACTAACATTTTAGAACTCTAGGATAGTCGTACCCAAATTCAGGAACTTTTTTCAGTTAACTTAAAGAGTATATTTTAGAAGATGATGCATCTATCCATCTTTAACACCGAGTCAATAAATATTCAAGTTGTAAAAAACTTTGTCTCTTGAAAATTCTGTTTATTGGTACTAGCTGTTTAGTTGGCTTTGGACAATTCTTGTATTTTGAACAGAGATAAATAGATGCAGATAAAAATATGCTTTCGAAATTGAATAGCAATGTTATTATTCTCTTATACCTAGGTGGAGAACTCATCTTTTTGTCAGAGGATCAAAAGAAATACTATAATGCACTAAAAAAGCTTGGTAGCAAGAAACCACATAAGACTATTCCACGACCTCTGGTAAGGCCCTTGTGAACATCAATGCATTCTTATTATTACTAACTTGGAAAGACTTTTCAGAAATTCTATTAAAGCCAAACATAAAACATTTTTCCCCTGCATGAGCCATGGTGGCGCAGTGGTTAGAATGCAGCATTGCAGGTTAACTCTACTGATTGCCTGCAGTTCGATCTTGACTGGCTCAAGGTTGACTCAGCCTTCCATCCTTCCGAGGTTGGTTAAATGAGGACCCAGATTGTTGGGGGCAAGTTGCTGATTCTCTAAACTGCTTAGAGAGCCTGGTAAAGCACTGTGAAGTGGTATATAAGTCTAAGTGCTATTACTATGATTCAATGTGTTACAAATAGACCAGGAGTTACGACTATAATAAAGCCTGTATGACCAACCCAATTTTACAACCTTCTTTTTGGTAATCATTAAGGAAATGCAGCAGTTGTAAAGTAGCCACCATGGACATTAAGTGAACACTGCAATCATTAAATGATGTGGTCATTAAGTGACCCCATAGTTTGCTATGGGCCAGTGTTGCTGAAAACTGGAAATAAATGTCAGTTTTCAGCCAAAGCATCGTAAAATATGATTGTAAAATTCTATGGAGATTCTCAGTCGTCCAGGTCATGGTTGTCCCCAAAGTGCTTTTTTTCAGGAGGCAACTGGACTTTCTGATTATGTATGTATGTATGTATGTATGTATGTATATATGTATTTAATGACAGATACAAGTGTAAACATACATGAAAAGGATACGAATAAAAGAAAACATTAGGACAGGGACGGTAAGCATATTGGTGCGCTGACTTCCGCTCTAACTGGATGGTGGGGAATGGAAAATTCTCTAAAAGGATGCAAATGACCAGCTGTCTGCAAGCAGTATAAACCCTTCCATTTCCCACCATCCAGTCAGAGCTGAAGAAGCTTCTTGGATGAGAAGCAAAATTATCTTCAAGGAAAAATCAGAAAGTCCGGTTGCATCCTGAAAAAAGCACCTTGTGTGATCATAAAAAGTTGTAAATGCAGTCCAGTTAGTTGCCAAGCATCCAAAGTGCAACCAAATGACTGTGGAAAGGTCAACCATCGGAATTGGGTTCCTGTAGATGCATCAATCTCTAAATAACCGGGTGGCTAGTTGCATTCTTATAAAACTAAAGTAAAAGTAACAAAATTTTAAGACTATGCCAAAGTCAGCTCAGATTAGTTTGCAATAAATCTGCCATCTTGAATCACAGGGAAAATGCCAACCAAGCTGCATTCGTTACAGCTGGTTAATACAGAAAGTACAAAAATGTTATTCAGAAAAACAGAAGAGCAGAGTTGGAAGGGGCCAAAGAGGTCTTCTAGTCCAACCCCCTACTCAAGCAGGAGACCCTATGCCAATTCAGACAAAGGGTTGTCCATTCCCTTCTTAAAAACTTTCAGTGATGGAGCACCCACAACTTTCACAGACTAATTGTTTTCAGTGTCATGAAATTTTTCCTTAGTTCTAGGTTGGTTCTCTCCTTGATTACTTTCCATCTGTTGCTTCTTGTCCTGCCTTCAGATGCTTTCAGTTAAGGTGATGTTACACAAACTGGAATAAATTACCCCAAATGGGATAAAAGTAGTTTTTTCTTTGGGCAAACCCATATTTATGCTTTAAATTGCCTAAAAAGGTGTTTTCGATAACCAATTTTCAATAAGGAAAGAAAAGTTTTGGGAAGCACTGAACTAAGATCATCTGGTCCCTGGAAATGCTGTGAATCCTATGGAAATGAATTTCTTTTCATTACCTGCAAAAAAGGAAATCAAATATATCACTACTGCCCCTCAGCCAGGCAGGAAGAAAGCAATCAAATGTCTTGAACTTGATCAGCCAAATCTCTGGGGCAGTTTCTTTGATTCCTCATAGAGGAATCATAAAGGAACTTAATTAACTTGGGGCAGCAGCAACAGCAATAGAAACATCTCCTTGAAGATGAAGATGGAGTCCTCTGAGGACTTCCTCAGAGTATATTTTATTTATTTATTTATTTAATTTATTTTATTTGTCAAGAACATATTTGGTAATAAGTATAAGCATGGATTGGATACATAAAATAGATACAAATAGGACTTCCGGTCTGGAGCCGCGGCGCCACAGTCGGGGAAATAGCGGTGTTAAGTTTCGTGGTCGTCTCGAATAAAATGCATTTCAAATAGAATCTTTGAAGATTTACTAGAGTAAATGCAGGTTGAAGTGCTGAAAAGCGGGCTCTAATGAGCCCATGAAAACCCCAACTGACAAACCACCGTCCGATCGATCTTCGGACCGACTCCCATCTTGCAGGGATGGGGGGTGAAGAGGAGCACCTCGGTGTGCCAAGAGGAACAGGCAAGTTCCTCGGAGGCCAGAGGGAATCCTCGAAGTCGGCGGTGGGGGTAGGCAGCCATGGCGGCTGCCACAAAGCTGCGGTGGACCGGGACACAAGATCGTGCAGGAGAGAAGAAGAAAGAGCGAGTATCTCGAAGCTGGGTGAGTGACACCAACCCAGGCAAAACAACATGATTATTTGGATTTTTTTTAAAAAATAAGACCCCAAACTTTAAATAGCGGCTACAGATCTATGGGGCTTGAAGATTAAAAGGGAAAAAAAATGGAAATAAAGACCCAAGACAGACCTTGCTTTAGTAAATTTTGCTTGGAACAATTGGCTTTTAACAACCTAGAAAAGTGACTTTTTAATTTGGAGTGGATTGGAGAAAGGTATCTATGGGAGTTTACACCTTTGAAAGTTAATGAAGCTAATGAAGAAAGACAGACGGATGGCTACATAATTGCCATGGAGTCTGCGGTGACTAAGCAGGAGAGTGGATTGAAGAGATTTCCCTTTCCGTTTGGAAAAGAAACATTTTAAATGGCTTTTTATCTTGGATTACTTTGAAAATAACATTAGATCTATGGAATTTGTCCTGGATGATTTTAAGAAGAAAGAAGGAATATTTTGGACATTTTACAATGGAAATTAACAAGATTAGCAAAAAAAATTAGGTGTGGCGTAGGAACAAAAGACAGGAAGTTGATGCATCACGCATGGAACAGACATTATAAAGCATTAAAGGGACATATAGAATTTTTTAATTTGAGCAGATGAACTTTGAAATGGAACATTTATGGACAGATAGAAAAAGGAAGAAAAGGAAGAAATAAAGTAGATAAATTTAAATGCAACTAAATTGAAATGTAAAGTTTAAAAGCCTAAAGGTATATATGATTTTTGGATAAAAACAGGAGGGTTTTTGGAGTAATAAAAATAGAAAATAAGAGATGGCAACTAAAATAGAGGATGATATATAGGTGGTTAAAAACAATAAAGAAGAGTATATTTTAATGTGAGACAACTTTAAGAAAATTTACTGCTTGATGTAATATGTTTTAATTTTAATTTGCAAACAAATGCTAGATTGGTGATTACGCTTGACTAAGGTTTTATTGAACAAACTATAAGATACACAGATTTTAGCAACAAATTGTGATTTAATTTAATATATGCTGGAAATGATTATCATTATGAAATATATTGAGAATTAATTTGAAAGAGCATGCTGGGAAACTGACACAAAATAGATAATCATATTATAAGAGAAAATTAAAATAAGAGGGATGGATACCAACTAGATAAGAGTTTGAGACTCGGAGGAAATATGTTGGAAACTAGTTAAAATGCTGGAAATCAGCCAAACATTTATAGGAGAGTTGGAGGAGTCTATGCTGGAAATCAGCCAAACATAATATGCTGGGAATCAGCCAATAAAATGCTGGAAATCAGCCAAGCAAAAGGAGGAGAGTTGGAGGAGATTATGCTGGAAATCAGACAAACAATGGAGGGAGTTTAGGAGGAGACTATGCTGAAAATCAGCCAAACATAATATGCTGGAAATCAGCCAATAATGGTGGTAGACTTGGAGGAGACTATACTGGAAATTAGCCAAAAATAGTTGGTGCTCTGGAGGAGACTATGCTGGGAATCAGCCAAGCATAATATGCTGGAAAACAGCCAAACAATAGAGGGAGGTATGGAAGAAAATATACTGGAAATTAGTTTAAATAAAATATGTTTTTGTGATAAACCTGTGTAACATGAAAAGTGTAATAGATGATAAGTGGGATAAAATCAAAGATAAATGGATAAAGTTTAAGATATTAAGATTCGAGGAAAAGGGTCAAGAGATTAAGAATTAGATAGAATTTTGTTTTATAAAGTGTAATAAAAATGGAGTTGTACTGAATTTGAAATTAAGATTTTTGGTGATAAAATTGTAAGGTAAATAATTAGAATAAGAGGTTAGAATATTGTTAAAAATTATTTTGACATTGATGGTAAAAGATACAAGGAGAACAAGAACAAGATATAATCAGGATTGATATATAGATATAAAAATGAGCAAAAGTTAATTTGAAATTAAAATTGTATAGATATAATAGATTTGTTTAGATGAAGATGCTAGACTTTATGTTAAAATTTGTTCTTTTATGTTTTGAATTTTTATCCGTAAAAGATGTAATGGGAAATTGTGAATGGATCTTGTTAAAGGAATGTAAGCGTAGTAACCAATTATGACCAGATCGAGACTCTGTTCTTGAAAGTTATATTTGATGTTTATATTTGAAAAAAATAAAAAAAATATTTACACACACAAAAAAAGGTACAAATAGAAGAAACATTAGGACAGGGATGGTAGGCACGCTGGTGCTCATATGTACGCCCCTTACAGACCTCTTAGGAATGGGGTGAGGTCAACAGTAGACAGTCTAAGGTTAAAATTTTGGGGGTTTTGGTATTCCAGGCATTGACCACTCTGTTACTGAAATCGTATTTTCTATAATCGCCCTTTCTGTCTTCCTGGTTCTGTTAGGTTCTATTAGTGACTTCCAGATTGGGATAAATAATTATCAAAGGACTTGATGCAATTATTTGAACTGCTTTGGAATCTTGGCACTAACATCTTCCTCCCTCCCTTCTTCTCTTTTCCTTCCTTCCTTCCTTCCTTCCTTCCTTCCTTCCTTCCTTCCTTCCTTCCTTCCTTCCTTCCTTCCTTCCTTCTTTCCTCTGCCCCTTGTCCTCTTTTCCTCCTACCCTCTCTTTTCCTGTCCCTCCCTCCCTCTCCTTTCCTTCTCCCCCCACTTTCCCTCCCTCCTTTCCACAGAACCAGTTCCAAGGATTTCTTTTTGATATCGTAAACAAGCAAGCATTCGAACTGTTCATTATAAGCCTTATCTTCTTAAATGTGGTGGTCATGGCGGTCGAATATGAAGGACAAGATGTGGCTGCTGACCAACTTCTTGAAAAGATCAACTGTGTCTTTGTTGCCCTCTTCACTGGCGAGTGCATAATGAAACTGTTGGCTCTGAGGTTTTATTTCTTCAAAGACCCCTGGAACATATTTGATTTGGTGGTTGTCATTCTTTCAATCATTAGTAAGTAGACTTTTTTTTTTTTTGCTTTACAAGGTCCATTGCTTGCCAATGCTAATAAGCTACAATGCAGATAATATTTGGCATGGCATACTTATTTACAGTCATTACAAACTTTCACTTCACATGTACATGTAGTCCTCAACTTATGACCACAATTGAGCCCAAAATTTATATTGTTAAGTGAGACAGTTGTTAAATGAATTCTGTCCCATTCTACAACCTTTTTGCCACGGTTATGAAGTGAGTCTTTGCAGTTGTTAAATTAGTAACATGGTTGTTAAGTGAATCTGACTGCCCCATTGACTTTGCCCGTCAGAAGGTTACAAAAACTGATCACATGACCCCAGGACACTGCAACCGTCATAAATATGAGTCAGTTGCCAAGCCCCTGAATTTTGATCACCTGACCATGGGGAGGCAGCAATGCTCGTAAGTGTGGAAAAATGATCATAAGTCATTCTTTTTCAGTGCAGCTGTAACTTCGAACGATCACTAAATAAACTGTTGTAAGTCGAGGATTACCTGTGTAATGCAGACTTAGGAATGCATGGTTGCAAGAATTGGTTGTAAAGTGTTGCGTGGAAGAGAATTAATTCAGAATTTGGAAAAAGCAAACTGGCACAGCAACAAACCAATGAATCTCTGGATCCCGTGTCCGTGTATGTGTGCGAAACACTTTTCAAGAAAATAATCCACCAATTTGCTCTCTTGGGCTAGATCCCAACCACCTTTACCCATCATTAAAAATCTGCTTTTATTTATTTATTTACTATTTTATTTTATTTTTTTACAAACATATCAGTGTGTGAATAGGGTGGCACCTGAGTGTCTTACATTTTAGTACAAATAAAATAATATTCACGGTATTTACTATGTTTGATAAGCTTATGTAGTTTTGATAATAGTACACATATGTTGCTGAATTATAATCTTACATTATTTGATTATTCAATATTTCAATATGTTATTTTTATGCCAATCACCATATTCTAAATGTCACTCCTTCTACTACAAATAAAATATTAACAATCATATTTGTTGTATTTAACAGACTTACATAATTCTAATAGTAATATACATATTTATGTTAAATTACAATCTTCCATTGTTTAATTATTCAGTATTTCAGTATGTTATTTTTATGCCGATGATTTAATTAAATTTATTAATTAAAAGTATATGCTGCCCGTCTCACTAGCCACAGTGCTGCCCGTCTCACTAGCCCGTCTCACTAGCACAGTGAAGTGGTCTGGTTTGCAGTGCAATAAAAATCACAACTATAACACCCCCAACGATGCCCTTGAAGTGATGTCCCAGTGCCTGGAGGCTGCACAGGCCTGGATGGGGAGAAACAGGCTCCGACTCAACCCTTCCAAGACCGAGTGGCTGTGGTTTCCGGCGTCCCAATATAGCCAGCTGGCGCCATCGCTGGCTATTGGGGGCGAATCACTGGCCCCCACGGAGAGGGCTCGCAACTTAGGCATCCTCCTGGATGCACGGCTGTCTTTAGAAGAGCATATGACAGCCGTGGCCAGGGGGGCTTTTTATCAGGTTCGCCTGATACGCCAGTTGCGCCCCTTTCTGGATTGGGACTCCCTACGCACGGTCACTCAAGTACTTGTCACTTCCCGCCTGGACTACTGCAATGCTCTCTACATGGGGCTCCCCTTGGGGTGCACCTGGAGGCTGCAGTTAGTCCAGAATGCGGCCGCGCAGGGGATTATGGGAGCGACAGGGCGCTCACATATGACACCTCTCCTGCGCGAGCTGCACTGGCTTCCTGTGGTCTTCCGGGTGCGCTTCAAGGTGTTGGCGACCACCTTTAAAGCGCTCCATGGCTTAGGGCCAAGGTATCTGCGAGACCGCCTTCTGCCACCAATAGCCTCCCACTGACCAGTTCGCTTGCACAGAGAGGGCCTCCTCAGGGTGCCGTCAGCCAGACAGTGCCAGCTGGTGACCCCGAGGGGGAGAGCCTTCTCTGTGGCAGCACCTGCCCTCTGGAATGACCTGCCCCCTGAGATACGCACGATATCAGACCTCCGGACTTTTCGTCGGGCCCTGAAAACACACTTATTCCATCTAGCCGGGCTGGCTTGATCCCATCCTCTCAGTTTTAATTGAATTCGGTTTTAATTGGGTTGTTTTAAATTTTGGGCCAAAATTATTTAATTGTTTTTTAAAACTGTTTTTAAATTTTATATGCTATGTTTTATCTCGGCTGTACACCGCCCTGAGTCCCGCAGGAGACGGGCGGTATAGAAATAAAATAAAATAAATAAATAAAAATAAATAAATTAAAAGTAATAACAAAAATCAGATAAAAACTACAAAAAGCACGAACTGTATGGAGATGCAGTCTGTTACTTCATTAGTGCCCCCATCAAGGCCCCCAAGACAACTAGCAGAGCCAAGTTTTCAGACCCTTCTGGAAGGCCGAGGGGATGGGTAGGCCTTGACTTATGACCACAATTGATCCCCACATTTTCTTTCCTAAGCAAGACAGTTGTTAGCTGAATTTTGCCCTGTTTTATGACCTTCCTTGCCACAACTGTTAACTGAATCACTGTAGCTGTTAACTTAGTGCCATGATTGTTAAATGATGCTACCTTTCCCATTGTCTTTGCTTGTTAGAAGGTCATAAAAGGGGATCGCATGACCCCTGGGATACTGCAACCGCCATAAATACATGCCAAATGTCTGAATTTTGATCCATAGCCCTGGGGAACTGAAATGGTCATAAGTGTGAAAAACATTCATAAGTCACTTATTTCAGTGCTGTTGTAACTTTGATCGGTTCCTAAACAAATGGTTGGAATTTGGGACTAGTACAGCTAGTCCTCGACTTACGACCACAATTGAGCTTGAAATTTCTGTTGCTAAGTGAGACATTGATTAAGTGAGTTTTGCCCCACTTTATGACCTTTCTTGCCCTAGTTGTTAAGTGAATCACTGCAGAAGTTAAGTTAGTATCCTGGTTGTTAAGTGAATCTGGCCTCCCCACTGACTTTGTCAGAAGATCACAAAAGGGGATCACATAACTTGGGACACAGCGACGGTCACAACTATGAACCAGTTGCCAAACATCTGAATTTTGATCACGTGACCATAGGGATGGCACAAAGGTCCCTATGAAAAAACCAGTCCTGGGTCTGGTTTCAGTGCCGTTGTAACTTTCACATATTTCAGTGCAGTTGTAACTTTGAACAGGTGCTAACTAAACTGTTGTAAATCGAGGACTACTTCTATTAAAGAATAGAGTTTCAGGTTTGTTTGTTCATTTTAGAAAATTTATATTGCTGCCTACTCACACAAGGCTACTCAAGGCAGCTCAAGTTCAATCAAAAGACTCATTGCAAGCCTATTTTGTTTTTCCTCCTCCAGGCCTTGCAGCAACCCAGCTTTGGCGACGTCTCAATTTCCCGCCAACAATCTTGCGTGTCATTCGTGTGATCCGCATCAGTCGCCTCCTGAGGCTGATCCGAGGCGCGAGAGGACTGCGCACCCTGCTTTTCGCCCTGCTGATGTCCCTTCCCGCTCTCACCAACATCGGGCTCCTCCTCTTCCTGATCATGTTCATTTACGCTATATTTGGCATGGCTAATTTCTCCTGCGCGAGTTGGTGCCAGGGGATTGACAATATTTTCAACTTCCAGACGTTCGGCAACAGCATGCTTTGCCTCTTCCAGATAACAACATCTGCCGGCTGGGATGAGCTTCTGGGGCCGATGCTCCTCCATAACGACAAATATGTGTGTGCTCCGAACATCAACCCCATCCCACAGAAGAGCCCCTGCGTCAACAGCAAGGTGGCCATTGCCTATTTTGTCAGCTACATCATTATTTCATTTCTGATTGTAGTCAACATGTACATTGCTGTCATCATTGAGAATTTGAATGTTGCCACCGAAGAGAGCACAGAACCACTAGGCGATGATGACTTTGAAATCTTTTATGAGATCTGGGCAAAATTCGACCCCAAAGCAACGCAGTTTATCTCTTACTCGGCACTGTCCAACTTTGCAGATGCCCTGGCAGAACCTTTACGAATACCAAAACCAAATAGCCAGCAGCTGTTGTCCATGGACCTTCCGATAGTCAATGGGAATAAAATCCACTGTTTGGATATTTTGTTTGCTTTTACCAAAAGGGTGCTGGGAGAATCTGGAGAAATGGACTCGTTTGAGTCCCAAATAGAAGAAAAATATCCGGAGAAGATTGCCTATGAGCCGATCGTGACAACTCCCAAGAGAAAGCAGGATGAGTCTGCCATCATAATTCAAAGAGCTTTTCGGATGCATCTTCTTCAGAGTGCAGGAAAGGAAGCGCCTCAGGAACCCTTTGTAACTATCTCCTTGGAGAATATTCCAGAAGAGGAAAACTTATCTGTGTTCAGTCTGAGTGAAAATGAAGGCAGCCAGTCCAATAATTCTCAGAGCTTGTCTTCGGTGGTCATTCCTCCATCCTATAGTAATGTGACTAGCATCGCTCCTGACATTCAACAGGAGGAGTCCTCTGACCGTCAGGATGATACAAAGTGATATTCCTCTCACTGATTTTTCTCTTGTCACAACAGGGTTTTCCTGGAAACAGATAATAATAATAATAATACTGTCATAAATAGTTAACTCAAGAGCTTCTCCATTAGTGTTAGTGTAAACTCTTACAGATCCTCAGTGGGAATTAAAGATTGCCTTGCAGCAGAGTTTCCCAACCACCTACATTCCGGATGTTTTGTTCTTTGTGATCGTCTGAAAATTCTGGGAACCCTTTCTCATTTCTGCCCTAATGATTTATAGTATCTTCTAGAGTCAGTCTGTGTTATGCCAAAGGACAGACATTGTGTCACCTCAGTGATGGTTGGATGGAACAATTCAGGGACTGAAGGCTATAACATACTAAGAACGGTTGCAGGAACTGGGTATGTCCAGTTTAATGAAAAGAAGGACTAGGAGTGATATGATAGCACTGTTCCAATATTTGAGGGGCTGCCACAAAGAAGAGGGGCCCAACCTATTCTCCAAAGCACCTGAAGGCAGGACAAGAAGCAACGGATGGAAACTAATCAAGGAGAGAAACAACCTGGAATTAAGGATAAATTTCCTGACAGGGAGAACAATTAACCAGTGGAACAATTTGCTTCCAGAAGTTGTGGATGCTCCATCGCTGGAAGTTTAAAGAAGAGATTGAACAGCTATTTGTCTGAAATGAGACAGGGTCTCCTGTTTGAGCAAGGGGTTGGACTAGATAAGGCCTCCAAGCCCCTTCCAACCCTGTTATTATCTTCCCTCTGTTAAGCCTCTTAGAGATAATTTTCAAAGTGTACCTATGCAGAAGAATTGATATAGAATATAACAGACCGTGTGGCAATTATTAATATAATTCTTGTAAAACAATTCTGCTCTTGCACATTTCTACCCATAGGATGGTTCTTGCATGAATTCACGTAGCGTAAGAAATGGGATTACTTACATCAGCATGAAAATGTATGAACGTACACTAAGAAGAGAAACAATATATGTGTGTTGTTAGAAATGTATTTTGAAATTATGTGAAAAGAGAGTGGTTCATCTCTGAATGTTCATTTTTTTTTTTTTACTTCTTCTGATTATTTACGGTAGTTTGTACATTTCCAAAGGTTTATTTTCCAGAACAGGAATTCATGATGCTCCAGATGCAGTTTGACTAGGTGAAAAATGAAACATCCTTTAGGAAAACCAGAATATTAAGACTAAAACCAGAATAAGAGCTGTGGTGGCGCAGTAATTAGAATGCAGTAACACAGGCTAATTCTGTTGACTGTCAGCAGTTCGATCCTAATAGGCTCAAGGTTGACTCAGTGTTCCATCCTTCCGAGGTCAGTAACATGAGGACCCGGATTGTTGGGTCCAATAGGCTGACCCTAAACCGCTTAGAGAGGACTGTAAATCACTGTGAAGCAGTATATAAGTCTTTAAGTGCTGTTGCTATTGCTATATTTTGAAGACAAACAACTCTGCTTTACACTCTCATTCTGTCTTATTGCGCTCTGGCAATCTAGCCAATTGTGGCTTATTAAACGAACCATGGTAAAGCTAACAATGTCTTAGTGCAATGTGTGAAACCTGTGAACATCTTACACATATAATAGGGAAGCTATTTTGCTAAGAAAGAAGACCAGCTAGACAATTGTTGGACCTCTATTTGGTCCATTGGAATAGTTTTGGAATTTCTCCATATCCCAGTATATCTTATTTATAGCAAGTAAACTTTATATATAAATGTTAACACGGTTTGTGTCTATTCACAGTTTGAAAGATGCAACATGCAACACAAATAAATAGAAGAGAATACCTGTACTTCAGGGCTAAACTGTGGGGTCTCTAAGCTTGGTTGTTTTCTTGCAGGTGTCTCATGACCCAACTAGATAACATCACCAATAGCACCTGTCAAAAGAATTTGAAGTCCCAAATCCTATCCAAGGTTGCGCAAGAATGAATCAGAATGAAATCCAGATGTGCTGTTTGAAAGGGGAAAAAAATTATTTGGAAGCATAGAAGGTAGCTACAGTTTGGGTTACTGTGGCTATTAGTATTTATACGTTTTAATGGTCCTTTTGTGGAGTATGCTGCATGTGTGAATATGCCTTCTATAAATGTTTAATTTGGTTGATGTACAGTTCTGGTGGAAATGTTCTTATCTTGTTTTGCTGAGTGGGTACATATTTTCTCTTTGATGTATAACTATGTGTTGACTTTGCTGCCCAGGAAGCTCATATTGTAAAAGGATTTTCCCTGCCTGTTATTATTTAGGCAAGTTAATCCTCTGGTTAATTACCAGAGGAGACAATGGATTAGTAATCTTTCCAACCTAGCTTTCTAGTTTTGGTTACTTATGGGTCATGTAAATGATTAAAGGGAGGGTCAGAGACAGTATAGGAATAAATCTAATTTTGAATTAAAGTTCTTTTTACAATTCTTAAAATTCTTTTCACTTACCTGTGATGTTATCTAGTTGGATAATGAAATGCCTGCAAGAAAACAATCAAGCTCAGAGAGCACCAACGATCCCACACACATAAATTCTAATTTGTGGGATTTATCAGATCAACTCAGGGGTGAAATCTACTTACCTTCCCTACCGGTTTGGAAATGCACACATCGTGCGCAAAATCTCTGCACATGCACAAACCCTTCTGCACATGCGCAGAGGATAAAAAACCTTGGTCATTTGAGATTGACTGTATCCATCACAAGGCATTTTATCTATTGTTACCCAGTATTCCACCCACTATGTATCCTAGCATAGGTAACAATTTAACTGTGTATGAGGTCATGCAAAAATTATACGCTTTATTCTATAGCCAGAGCAGAGTAATCGCCACAAGGATATCCAGGGAATTCCACTCTGCCAGACTCAGACCAGGGGTTCCCATGAGTGAACATATATTGAAACTTAATGCAACCAGGGCTGAACTAATGCAAAGGGGGGAAGTAATCACTGAAGAGAGTATGATGAGTATAATTATAAACTCATTAGACAGCAGCTGGGGCAGTTTCGTGACTCAAATAGACAGCCTCAGTATAGAGCAGTGATGGCTAACCTTTTTGCTGTCGCGTGCGAAAAGTGGGGATCATGCGGGGGGGTCATGCATGCATGTGCCCATACCCATAATTCAATGTGCCACACCCCACCCACATGTATGCGTGCCCCCCCATGCTACCCCCATTTTTGGCACGTGATGGCACGGTGGGCCCGGTAGGCCCATTTTCCGCCCTCCCCAGGCTCCAGAGGCTTTCTTGGGAGGGCCTGGGGAGGGCAAAAACAGCCTTCCCTTCCCAACCTTCGGAGGCCAGAAACAGCCCATTTCCCGACTTCAGGTGGGCCCGGAAGGTCCAAAAATTAGCTGGCCGGCACGCATGTGCGCACTGGAGCTGAGTAGGGCAACGCTCGCGTGCCACAGATACAGCACCGCATGCCACCTGTGGCACCCATGCCATAGGTTTGCCATCACGGGTATAGAGCATCTATCATTAGACACACTCACAAATCGCCTAATAGCAGAAGACAACCTAAGGAGGGACAACCATCTATCCAGGAGGGATCCCAGACCCATTAAGAAAGTTGAGTTCCAGGATAGGACAAGGAGTACCCCTGAATGTTTTTCTTGCAGTTCTAGGAACCACCTAAAAAGGGATTGCTCCAGGAACAACAGGGACAGGGGATACAATGATCGCAGGGGGAGACAGTCACCAGGCTGCAGGCCTTTTAGGGAACGAGGGCGTGGGTGGTCCCCCAATCCCAGGCAACACAATGACCGTAGGGGCAGTTCCAGAGACAGCAATCCAAATTCCATGTACGGTTTCAGATATGGGAAACCAGACCCCAAACAAAAAATAAGCGAGGACATGTGGCTCTTAGACTCAGGAGTCACAAACCATACCACGTGCAACCCAAACTTATTCAGTTCACTCACAGAAACAGATATCAAGATAAAGGTGGCTAATCAGAGTAGTGCCAAAGTAATAGGGAAGAGCGTGCATATCCCAGAAACTGGAAAAATAGAGGGGGTATTATATGCGCCAGAAATACCCTATAACGTATTAGCCACCACCAAACTCACACAGGACACGGGCAGTGAGGTAGTGTTCAAAGATGGAAGAGCTTACATATTCAAAGAAGGAAATAAGGTTGGGGAGGTAACAATACATGACGGTCTACCCTACTTCACTCCCAGCGAGAGCAACGGAGGAAGCATAAACACAAACACCGCTAGTGAGGAAAAGGGAAACACGGGAACAGAGGGGGTCACCAGGGGGCAAACGAGTGTAAGTCACCAGGTAAAAACACGATGTCTATGGGAAGGCCCATCCATGATAACTGCGCCCATCTTCTTCACAGGAGACTAGGACATATCAGTTTCCCTGTTGTAAAAAAAATGCTGGAATGTACCGAGGGTCTAAAAGTAAAAAAGTGTGAAAACTACTTAGAATGTTCTGTTTGTAAGCGCTGAAAAATTAAAGTGAAGGCAAGGCCAAAGAAGTCAAAACGGACTACTGACTCTATCTTCCAACTGGTACACATGGATTTGGTAGGGCCATTGAAACCATCAATTAGGTATAGAAAAAGGTTCTTCTTAACTATTGTGGACGATTATAGCAGGTATGGCTATGTTTATTCACTCAGGCATAAAAATGAAGTATTTCAAAAATTCAAAGAATTCCACAGAAGGGTAGAATTACAACACAATACAAAAATCAAACAAATAATGACTGACCGAGGATCAGAGTTCATGGCCAGAGACTTTACAAGATGGTTAAGAGAACAGGGCATAGTACACTACACTTCTTCGCCTTTTTCACCATTTCAAAATGGGGTCATAGAACGAAAAAACGATGTACTCCAAACGATGATGAGGTGTGTCCTAGAGGACGCAGGAATGGGCCAGTCATTTTGGTCAGAGGCACTGCATTATTCCAACTATACATTAAACAGGTTATGGTCAAGTTCGATTAATAAAACACCATATGAGATAATGTATAAGAGAAAGCCCAACTTGGCA